GATTGTGTTTGTCAAGTACACCAAAATTCAAATTTGATTACTTATGCAGTGCCCGGTAACATTGAATATAAATATCTTTTATCATAAACAGCATGTGACATTGACAATCATAGCTGTATGTTTCATAATTGTGATAACTGCCTTAATGTAAAGATTTTAAAACAGTATATAAGTGATATCTTCAATCAACATGGTTTTGAATATGAGGATACAGTGCCATACAAACAGTGGTTAAAAAAGGAAAACATTAGTTTGGTAACTTTAGGTCTTACGTTAGAAGAGTTTCTTGAAGAAATCGTTTTTACAATTGAAATCTTACAACCGCAGAGCTCAATTTAATTCTTTATAAAGTCCTAGACTATCCAATTAAATTTTTACTTTATATTTTTTATGGTTTTATGAAAGCGAGATATGCAATCGAAATCTTTGTCATGTTATTCAGTTTATTTAACGTTACTCTTGTGAAGTTATAATTTCTTTCCTTATTATTTATAATACTTCATTGCAGATTTTGCTTTTAATAAAATAGTTTTTTAATTTTTTAAACAGTAATTTAATATTGCATGTTTTTTTAGATAGACTTAAATTATTTTTCTTTACAACTTGAAAACGGCTGCTTTGATGTTTTAACAATTTAAATGCACATTAAAAAATCGTTACACTACAATTAACTTTTATTATTTTTTAAGTTTTTATTTTACGCGCTTTAAATAAAATCAAAAATGATTAAAAAATATTTTTTTAAGCAACTTTTTTTTTGCAACATTTTGAAAAGAATGTTTATACAACTTAAAAATATATTATTTTTTTTTTCAATAATTTAATTTCACTTTTCAATAATTTAAATAAATTTGTTTATTTACTAAACAATATATAGTAGTAATTTGTAAAAACGTTTTGTGTAACTTTAATTTAATGTTTAACAAAAAGCATTGGTTTAGTTTTATTTGTTTTCTAATCTATTTTCTTTTTCAAAAGGAATTATTTTGCTTATTCTTTAGTTTTTTAAATTTTTTTCCTAGTTTAAATTTAACTTAACATTTCTTTTTTCAACGGATTTCTGAAACGCTTAAATCATTGAAACATCTAAAAAGTCATGGTCAAGTTGTAAACAAAAAAAATTCATTTGCGTGGTCAGTAATAGCGTTCAATTGCACGCCATTCCTCTCCAAGCTTTAACTTGTAGAATTTAATTCCTGTCAGTTGAAACGTCTGATTATCAAAACAAAATTACAACTTGATTTTGCAAAAAATTTTAGTTTTATAACATAATATGCAGTCTAAGGATATCATCGAAACAATAGCCAAGTGACACTACATCTATTATTTATTTACAACAAAGATTATGAAAATAAACTCAAACCAATAAACTATTGCATAATATCTGACTGTATGCAACATGATGCAAATACTGTTAAAGTTTTTAGCTAGAGTTTTAGTAGATAAAAAAATTATTCTGCTAAATTTGACCTTATGTTATTAATTTAGTGATGGAGCAGCTAGATAATACAAAATTCAGATATTTATATAAAATTTCAGATATTTATGTATAATTTATGTAACAAAATGGAGTAAATTTTAAATGGGCCAAACGAGAAGAGAAATGTTGAGATCCTGTTGTAAACATTTTAGCAAAAATAAATACTCTGATTGCACACTGTCAATCAGCAAGAAGCTTCAAACTTCTAAGCAATAATTTAAAAAATGTTATTTTAAAACGCTCTATAAAACCATTTAGACTATTATTTTGAGAATCTTATTTTTAAAACTTTTGAATTGTAATTGAGATTTACTTATTGCACTTTTTTGAGTTTCAAATTTATTGAAAAAAAAAAAAAGAAGCTAATATAGATATCTATATTTTAAAATTTAATTTTAAATTCCTTGTTTAGAAAAGAATAAATAAACAAATTTTAAAATTAAAATGTTCATCGGTTTTAAAGATATTGACTATATAACAAATTCATAATAGCCGAATTTCAATTCCAGAATCCTATTTGATAGAAAGTTTAAATATAGATATCTTAGCAGCTACAAAAAAATCCTAAAATTATTTGTTCTGTATTTTTTCTTCTTATATTAAAAGTTTATTTCTAAAAGTTTTAAGTGTTAAATTTACTGAACACTCGTTAATATTCAGTTTTTAAATAGACCTAATTTTAATGTTTAGAATCTAGAGGTTTTTTTAGGGGATCAAACTTCTATAATTTTAAATATAAAGTTACAAAACTTATCATAAATCTACCATTTATATTTTCAGAACATAACCTAATTTTCACATTTCCTTGTGTATTCTGCTTTCATTTGATTAATATTGAAATTTTTTCCTCAAAGTGTTGCTTTTTTGTAACTTTGAAGTCCAAAATGGCAAAAATAACTGCTTTCGTAAAAAAAAAAATTATTTTTTCAAAAGTTGAAGTAGATTACTGCCATCAGATTGATTTTTAAGTATTTAAGATAATTAGTTTTTTATTTATATGGATTTTAAAAAAAACTTTTTTGAATAAGACAATAAATTGCTCAATATCAATCAGTAGAGTAAGACAATTGAATGCTGTTGATTAAACTTAGATTTGTGATGTTCAAAAAAACATATTTAATAAATATGCTTTTTTGAACAAATATCGTAAAACAATAAATTAAATAAATTTAGCGTTTAATTTAGAAAAAAAGGTTTCTGCACACACTCATTTTTTTAAGTATCATGTGCAGTTCAGATCACATGCCAAGAAATGTTTACATAAAATGGCCTTTATACCTTAGCAAGAATAGAATATGGAGACCGCATTGTTTATAAGTGGAATAAATTTTAATGTTTTCTAATGATTTCATATGATTGATATATAATTATTAGTTTAAATACTTTCCACCCACATACAGAACACATAATAAGGTTCACATAATTATACCAACTATGATTATTAGTTGGTATAATTATGTGAACCTTATTATGTGATATAATTATTAGTTTCCACCCTCATACAGAACACATAATAAGGTTCACATAATTATACCAACTAATGTGGTGTAATATTTTTTTCAATACTTATTAAATAGTAATAAATAATATCTAAATATGTGCAAAACTGCCAGAATACTCCATAACATCACTGCTAAAAAGCTTATCAGTTTTCAGGCTTGGACAGGAATGGCGTGCGATCGCACTGACCATGCTAATGTTTTTTTTTTACAGATAGACCACATCTATTTTAATGTTGAACAATTTAAATACAATAAAAAAAATCATTAGGTTACAAACAACAATTAATTGTTGATCTTTTTAACGCTTTTATTTATGCGAAGGCTTAAATTAAAATAAAAAATTAATTAAAATGATTGTTTAAAACAAAAAAAAAAGTTTTCGTAAATTAAAAATGTAAATTTTTTTTAGTAGGTATGTATTTTTTATGACAAATTTAAACATTTAAAACTATTTATTCCATGTCTTTCTAAAAATCTTTAATAAGATTTTTTTTTTAAACAACTTATGAATAAGTTTAATTATAACCAACCTGTGCAAAAGAATGAATTAATTGCTTTATTATTATTATTATTTTTTTGTTCCTATTTTTACAAAAAATTGTTTAAAATATTTTTTTTTATATACTTGAATTAATAAAATGAATAAAGGACTACTTTATTATTAAAAAAATTTTTTTTTTGTGACTTTATCAAAGAATGCAACTTAAAAATATCATATTTTTTCATTTCAATAATTTAGTTTCACTTTTTAAATAAAAATTAATTTAAATAAAATTTGTTCATTTATTAAACAATCATTAGAAGTAATTTGTAAAAACATTTTACGTAACTTTAATAAAAGGTTTCAAAATAATAAGTTTTGAAATATTTAATTTCATCTGCAATTAAAAAAGTTAGAAAAAGTAAACTTTGCCTGGAGTTTGAGTTTTTAGAGTTTTATTTTAAAGCTTATATATTTTCTATTTAGTGAGGAATGGTTTTCTTTTTCAGTTTTTTAAAATTTTTTTCTTAGTTTTCAGACTTGAAAAAAAAAGCCTTAAAAATGATAAGCTAAACTGTTTAGCATAGCGATTCTTTTTTCAGCGCATTTCTGAAATGTTTAAATCATCAAAACATCTGAACAGTCGTGGTAAAGTTGCCAACAAAAAAAATCATTTGTATGGTCAGCAATATCGTTCGATCGCATGCCAATCCTGTCCAAGCTTTTAATAATTTTTGATAGTCTGGTTAAGCAGATTTGAGAGCTTTAATTTTTGAGAGCTTTAAATTATCGTAAAAAAATTGTTGGATAACAATTCTTAAAGGCAATTTAAAAAAGAGGGAATCATGTAATCATTATTCCATGACTCATCAGATTATGGTGGTCTATAAAATAAAAACGTAAAAAATAAATTAGAAATTTTTGAAATGTTTTTTTTATGTATACAGGTAACAGGGGCTATTCTACTAATATATATATATATATATATATATATATATATATATATATATATATATATATATATATATATATATATATATATATATATATATATATATATATATATATATATATATATATTATATATATATATATATATATATATATATTTATATTTTTTTTTAATTTGTTATTTAGGTGCCCCAAGCAACCCCAAGACCTAACAGTCTTGTCACAGAGCACCGCAGAAGTGCATTTACCCAGGAAGTTCAAGCCTTCTTCAATACCGTGACGCAAAATACGTCCAAAGCTTGTTTCGAACCTGTATTTCCTGCATCACTCAGTCACTTCTTCCTGGAAAAGCTTTGATTTTGGTGGAGTGTAAAAATAAAAACTTCAACTAGAATTTCTTTCATTTTATTTAAGGTTTTCTTTGATATTTGTTTTTTTTTAACCAAGACTTCTAGCTAACAAAACTGTTTTTATTTTTTATTTTTTTTTGAGCCTATTTTTAGGTTCTTACTATAAAATGTTTTGTGTAAAAAACAAAAAACAAAAAAAAATTTTTAATATAAATTTTGCAAGTTTAGTTGGTTACCTTTGACTCTTCACAGGCTTCTGAAAACCCTCCATTTAAAGAAATAAGAATAGCATAGTTGTACTCGTTGTTAATATTCAAGTCATTGATAAATCTCTCTCTTTCTTTTTTTGCAACTGGAGCATTGATGTTCAGATTTTTGACTTCAAGCATGCCTGTAAAACTGCTATTTCGAATATTTACAGAAAAGTCTCCTTTATTATTAATTTGTGAAACATTCCGAATTTGGAAAAAATTGTCATTATTTAACAGATTTTCAACAAATGTCTCCCCAGCAATACCTAGCTCTATAAATAAACAAATCTTCATATATAAGTTATTTTAAAAACATTAAACATAAATGGTAAAATTTTAAAATAATTTGTATTAAGTCAAGCCAACAAAAGTTTTGATCTATAACTGAATTTTGTGTTGATGAGCTAAACTTTGTGTTTATAATGAATTTTAAATGACTTCTTTTGTCTTCTTAAATATCTATCACCTTAGAATTTAAAATTTCTTTTGGATATGTTTCATACTTTAAAACTTTAAGTATCCAAATTTATCTGAAAAAATTGCATGCATATATTTGTTACATATAATGTCGCATATATTTGTTACATATTATGTCACATATATTATGTCGCATATGTTACATATAATGTTGCCTATATATATACATATATTTTCAATTTTATTATCTTGCTCCCAGAAGACCTTACGATCATATTACGGAACACTGCAGAAGAGCATTTAATTTGAAGTTCACGCCTCCTTCCTTATCAATGTTGCTTAATGGGCTAGAGCCGAGGTCGAATCTCAGACCTCAGGGTTCTTAGCCAGAACTCTGACTACTGTGCCACGGCTGCTCACCATATATATATATATACATATATATATATATATATATATATATATATATATATATATATATATATATATATATATGTATATATATATATATATATATATATATATATATATATATATATATATATATATATATATATATATATATATATATATATATATATATATATATACTTTTGCTATGTTGTCAGAAAGTTTTCCGATATTTTGTTGACATAAAAAAAAAATTAAATGCAAGACCAGAATAATCTTTTTTTTATTATTATTTCATAGACTGCCTGCCCAAACCAAACCCTCAGTCGATGTAGCAGCACTCCGTTGCGAATCAGACTATTTGTCAGTCGATGTAGCAGCACTCTGTTCCGAGTCAGGCTATAAGATAGTTGATGTAGCAACACTTGCGCATGATTTACAGTAAAAAAAATAAAAATAAAAACATTTTATTTAAAAAATAAAAATAAAAACATTGTTTGTATTTATAAAAACATTCAGTATGTTTTTAAAAACATTCAGAATGTTTTTAAGAACATTCTAGTCAATTAAATTTGCGTTTTTGCGGTTTTTTTAAAAAGTAATTAAATTAATGTTTTTTAACTTTATGACAACACGGAAATGTTAGATAAATGTCAAAAGTAATTAAAAGTGACATAACTTGTTGTCAAAAGAATCATTTTTTACCTTCGGTACTCTCATCAATTTATGTATATATATATATATATATAAATTGATATATATATAAATTGATATATATATAAATTGATATATATATAAATTGATATATATATAAATTGATATATATATAAATTGATATATATATATATATATATATATATATATATATATATATATATATATATATATATATATATATATATATATATATATATATATATATATATATATATATATATATATATATATATATATATATATATATATATAAGTAAAAATGCAGGCCTTGTTTTAAAGTGTTACGCATAGAGCAATTAATTGTAAGTTTTATGCAATTATAGTTTAGCAACTTTTTATAATTTTTTTTACTTTTAAATTATTCTATAAGCAGTAAGATAAAAGAAGTAATTAATTAAAAAAAAGCACATTAACTATTGAATGACATTTATGTAATTAAATCTGTTTCAAAAGTTTGAATAACAATTATGTTAGAATATAAGCACTATTTACTAATTAAAAAACTCAAATAAAATTAAAAATTTATTCTTATTTTATTTTATTGTAGTGATTAACTTTTTTGGTTGAAAAACGCTAAGATTTTAAGCTTAAAGCAAAGATCATAATAATACATGTTAATTATGATAAAAAATATATGATTAGAAAAACAACTAGAGTTAATATTTGACCGGGGCTGGGTTTGATAAAACGAAGCCGGGTTTGTGACTGGGACTGCATAAACATTTATACATCCTAAAGTATAATTTTTTAATTCAAAATTCATGTTATATTTTGTATATGTATATATGCATATATAGGGCAAACTGGCCTATTAGTGGCCACGTCCTATTAAGAGCTGCTTTGTTGAGGGCTCTTTTAAACGATTTTTTAAACAGGTTGATTAAATATTTGGATTTTTTCTTTAGCTATTTGTACTATAAATAATATGCAATATATATTTTTAGCTATAGTTTATAAATAGAAAATTTATATTATGTTGAAGATATCATTTTTTTGGAGTATAAAGTAGCCGATTTTGGATTTTTTAAATATATTTAAAATAGTTTTTATGATGGAATTTTTAGATTCAGTTTTTTTAAAACATATATTTTAAAATGTAGGTCATATATTTATCTTTTAAACACTTTTTTGAACTGCAAATCAAAAGTGTTAGAATTTTGAAAGGCTTTTTATAGCACCACTCACTTCGCCCAATTATTGGCGTACCAATTTGTAGCCATTACAATTTTTCAATATTACCATGTTTATTTGTTTGTTTTTATTTTTTATTATAAACTCAGTTATTTTTTGTGCTGGTACAAGCATAATAATGAGAAATTTATTTAATTGACTCATTTAGTTATTCAAATACTTGCTTCTTTTATTTGTAAGGTAGAACAAGATTTGCAAAACAAAATAATATTAAAAATATCTCTGAAAAACTCAGACAATTAAAAAAGCAATGTATTGTAACGTAAGTATTAGGCTTAAGGTAATTATACTCTGTTATTTATTGATTTATATTATTTTTATTATTATTATAATATATATATATATATATATATATATATATATATATCATATATATATATATATATATATATATATATATATATATATATATATATATATATATATATATATATATATATATATATATATATATGTATATATATATATATATATATATATATATATATATATATATATATATATATATATATATATATATATATATGTTTATATATATATATATATATATACACACATATATATATATATATATATATATATATATATATATATATATATATATATATATATATATATATATATATATATATATATATATATATATTGGTGGATCTCCACCAAAATTGCCAAATCATTTAGAAAAAAAATTAGTTGATTATGCCACATCTAGAGCAAATCGCGTTATTGGATTTGGGAAAAGACAACTTATGAAATATGTCTCACAGAATAGTAAGAAATACAAGATAAAGTTTAAATGTGATACCCCATCAGAAAAATAGCAGTGGTTATTTAAACAATCACATAAGACTATGGTTTTAAGAAAACCTGAAGGAACATCATCTGTTTGACATCAATGCATGTCAATCCAAAAAGTTTCTATATATTTTTTCGCACTTCAACAAGTTTTTAATAAGTTGGGTACTCCTGTTTTTCTTTCTTCAATTTGGAATATGAATAAGACTGGACTTCAACTAGACTTTAAACCACCCAAAATTATTGCAGTACGGGGTGCCGCACATCTTCAGTCTCGCACTTCAGCAAAAGAGAAACCATCACTGTAATTGCTGCTGTGAATGCAGCTGGTAAAACTATACGTCCACATCTAATACCAAATGGTAAAACAATAAAATCATTTTAAGCTTTTACAAGTGATGCTCCAGTTGGTTTAAAAGGAAATGTCTGTGAGACTGGATGGACAAAACAAAGAATAGCATATCTTTGGTTTACAAATACATTTTTACCAAACATTGTAACTAACAGGTATTAATAGTTGATAACCATGATTCTCACAATTCACTCAAGTTATTATCTGTTGCTATTGAAAATAACATTGCTCTCACTGGTTGCAGCCATTAGACCGTACTGTATTTGGTCCCATGAAGACTTACTACAATACTTGTTGTCATGATTTAATGAATACATACTCTGTTACAATCAGTAAGTCTAATTTCTGTGGATTGTTCAAGAAAGCTTGGGATCAAGCCTTAACTGCTGCTAACATTGTTTCTGGTTTTCAATCATGTGGTATATTTCCCTATAATCCTTCTGCAATTCCATATGAGGCCTACTTGCCTAATTCACTTTACTCTGACCAGTTATTAGAGAAAAAAAACTTGCTTAAATCAAGTTTTGATTCCTTTAAAAATGATATTATAAATTATCAATCCAGAATATCACTAAACACAACTTTTGAAAAGCAGGAGGATCCCAGTCCAAATTGAACTTTTACAAACAATGCTGATACAACTGAAACTATAGGCATCTTGTCTGGACCAGAAATTTTGAATGTAGATTTAGATCAATTGAATAATGACACAGCATTAATGTTAGAGAATAGTTGCTTAACTCCAGAGCATCTGACTGCTTTTAATTTCTGTTATCAAAATGGTTTTGTAATTTCTGACAATTTGTATTTAGCACACAAAGACTTTTATATAAACCAAAATGCAATCAGTGATGTTTTTTCTGATCTTTAATTATGAAAAGCTGCTGAAACAACTCTTTTATCAAAAGAAACTGTCATAATGTTCTCTCTTATCCAAATTTTTATGTTGATAAGTCAAAAAATAATAGAAATAATAAACAAAGGTATTTTGTTCTAACTTCTCCTGAAGCTATGCAAGCCAAGTTAAATGATCTAAAAAAGAAAGAGAAAAAGGTTCAGGCAGCAAAAATAAAAAAATTGAAGCAACTTGAGATAAAAGAAAAGAGATAAAAACTTTAACAGGATAGAGAAATAAAAAAGCAATCAAAACATATTGATTTTTTTATTAAGAAGTGAACAGTTAATATTTTTTATCAAATTTTGTTTATACTTTTTGACGTATTTCTCGAGTTTTGATAGTTGAAATTTCTTTGAATCAATATACAATTTAAAGATGCAGTTTTACAAATAATTTGTTTTCTTTTTAAGTTATTTTGTCCATATTTAGAGGAGTTACTTATGCTTTTGCTAGTTTTTATTGAGTAATTATAATATTTAAAAATTTTAGAAATTTGATTTGTAACAGTAAAT